TTTTAAAAACACAATGAGGGGAGTCACATCTCTCTCCAGCAGGTGTGTCACCGTTCACAGAAAAGAAGGGCCGGTGGGAGGAGGGAGCATCACATGAACCTCGGGAACATTTCGAGGGCATTTAGCCCGGTGCGGTTCTGATCAATTTTCCTTAGAACTTTCCTCACATAAACTCCTCTGAGGGGCCTCCCCAGTCACACCAGGAGACACTGAGAGACTCTGTTATGGGCTGAACTGTGTCCCCCACCCCCAAATTTGTATGCTGAAGACTTAACCCCCAGTACCTCAGAATGTGAGTGTATTTGGGGAGAGGGTCTCAAAGTGGCCATTTAAGTAAAATGAGGTCATGAGGTGGGCCCCGATCCAATATGACTGTGTCCTCATGAGAAGAGGAGATTAGGACACAGGCAAGGCCATGTGAGGACACAGGGAGAAGGCAGCCGTCGGGAGCCAAGAAGAGAGGCCTCTGAGGAAACCAGCCCTACCGACCCCTGGTCTCGGATTTCTAGGCTCCAGAGCTGTGAGGAAACCACTTTCTGTTGTTTAAGCCACGTAGCCCGTGGTACTTTGTCATGGCGCTCCCCCCGCCCACAAAAAAAGAGTAGACTACGTCCTATCATCCACCCCAAGAGAAAAACCCCTCGCCCATCACAGAGAGGAGAGAATCCCAACCATTTCCAAGTTCTCCAGAGAGCCAGTGAGAAGCCCTGGCCTTTCCGCTCCAAAAGGCTGCCAACTCTCACACCTCCCCCTGGTGTCCCGTGGGCGTCCCCAGGAGCTGAGGCCGAGGCCGGCCTTCCCCACCATCAAATGTCAAGGCCCACTCCCAACCAGATTCAGCCAAATCTCGTTCCAGGCACAAACACATGCCGCACAGCCAGGCCGCACCGGGCTGCCTGGGACCCCGTATTGGGGGACAGTGGCGAGGATGGGGGGTGCGGGCCCCACATTTCTGCTCTCAGAAGCCAACGTGCTGTGGTATGACTGCAGGCATGTCAGGGAACCCCGACATCCCAGAGGAGCAGACACGATGGCTTTGACGCCCCAACATCCCACCATCCACGCCCACACTGCTCCTCACATTAAGGAGCTGTCAGTCACCGTGCAAGATCTCTGGGGCTGGAATTTTCCTTCAAGCCGGAGAAGGCTCCCAGGGGGATGAGACTAATCAGCCCTTCTCTGTACAAAGAGGGGCAGAATGATCCAGAACCACCATGCTGTTTTGCTAACAGACAGGGAGGTGTCCCTGTTAACCCACCCGGCCACCAGAGGCCAGGTGACGCCCCCGCCACCTCACCCTGCCATCTCACACACCCTCGTGAGCAACATACCCTCACTGGTACTCAGGGGTCTTTCCCCAAGTCCTGCCCTTCCCACCTTGGTCAGAGGCCCAGGAAGCATTCTAGATGGCCCCAGACAACAGCAGCCAACTTCCGCTGATTCTGCTTTTGCTTCTGATGTGTGTTACCTGCCCACTAAATCCTGCCTCATGGGACCTTCCTCCTTCCCCTCTGGAACATCAGCTCTGCCTTCCTGCCACGTGCCTTTCTACTGCCACGACTCCAGCCCCCGTGTACCATCCTCCAGCCCAGGGTCCCCCACAGCAGCACTACTGACATCTGGGTCCAGACCATTCTTCATTGGGGGACCAGCTGCTCTGTGCATTGAGGGACAGCTAGCAGGACCCCTGCCTTCCCCACTGGATACCAGCTGCACCCTCGTCTCCAGGTGTGACAACCCCAAATGTCTCCAGGTGTTGGCAAACGTCGCCAGGATCCTTCAGCTCGGCTGTACAGTCAAATCCCCTGGAAGCTTTTTTTTTTTTTTTTTTTTTAATCACCAATGCTTGGGCTCCACGGCACTTAATAAGTTAATTACCTCGTAAGTAAATCAGAAACTCAAAGGATGGGGACTTGGTGTCAATCTGTTGTAAGGGCAGCCAGCGCAGAGAAGCACTCAGACCCTTGAACCAGAATCATCCCTCTAGCACAGAAACAGACTCATTTTAAAACATCCAAAGGCTTCTCACTGAACACAGAAAGGCTCCAACTCCTCAGCACGACATCCAAAGCCCCCAGGTCTGGGTCCTTCTGAACTAGCAGACTTAGCACCCAGTAACCACGGCCGCTCTCCCAGCCCCGGATAGCTCTCCCACACCAGCGTGGGGTTCGACATGTCTGTTGTGTATCTGCCCCAACAGTCGCTCACCTTCCCATCCTCGTGGCAAAGAAAACGAATTTCTTGTACCTCAACTGAGTTGCAAGGCCCCCTTGTGACACCTGTCCTGATTCCCTCACCCCAGATAGATAAGGGCACAGTTATGTATCATGGTGAATGAAAGAAGGACACAAGCAAAAGATATCCTGTTCTGCCCACACCTAACAGTCCTGTTTCTGCATTCCCTTCCCAAGCAAAAGCAGACACCAGAAGCCACACCAGAAAGCACAGCATCCAACAGAAGGCTTCTCCATGCGGCACCATGAGAGTCAATGCCACGGTACTTTTCAAGGACAGCAGTGACTGGTACTGGCGGGGATGGTGATCTGGTAATCACAGAGGGGACAGGCCAGCCCTGGAACAGGAGGCCACACGTACAGCGGCCACAGGGAGCGGCCCACCGCGTGTCACACACACACTGAGCACATGCCATTCCCTCTGCCTGGAACATCCTTCTCTCTCTCTGCCGATAACACCCACTTATCCTTCGCTCTCAGCTGCACGGCCCCCAAGCATCCAAGTCAGGCCTTCCCACAGCGTCCTTTCCACCCAAGCTCATAGCAGAGCATTGCCTTTGGCGACATATGACGGTCAGTCCTGTTTTTCCTGGTTCCACACCTTAGTGGCTATATGATTGGGGCAAGTTCTCTTTCTCACCTTCAGTTTCCTTCTCTGTAAATGGTGATGATCATGTCCGTCTTTGTGGACCGCCTGGGATAGTAATGCATGCCCGCCCCCACTTTATAAACATTCATTGAATATTTCGTCAAATATTCCTTGAGTGAGTGGTGAATGGCACTGCACCCATGTTCACGTTCCTTTGGTCTGGATCCTTCTCCAGAAGCCCAGGCATCTAGTTCAGCGGGCTCAGCGTGCAGGACCCCCCTGGCAGGGCTCTTGAGACTGGCTCTGGGGAGCTCTGGGACCTGACTGGGGACCTGAGAGTACACAGACAGGCAGGTCCCTCCCCACAAGGCAAAGGGAAAGAGCAGTCCTGGGGGCGTGGGCAGAGTCTGTGGGCAGCGAAGGAAGTGGCTCGGCTCCAGGGGCTGGGGAGAACCAGCCTTCACAGCGGAGGAGTGGGAAGTTGGCAGGTGAGAAGGAGAGAACGAGCTTTCCCAGGAGAGGAGCCTGAGGTATGAAAGGGCGCAGAGTTCCTAGAAAGGTAGGGAGGACATTGAGGCGAAAGCCCCATTGAGGACTGTGGCTGCTTTATTTTGTTTCCCTGGAAAGCAGGTCGGTGGGAGGGAAGGAGAGACAGGTCAAAGCAGGATTCCGAATGCCTAGGCTGAGCGGGTTGTACTTGACCCTGTGAACATGGGAAGCCAGAGGAGGGTTTTAGGCTGAGGAGATCAGCGTTAGCTTAAGAAAGAAAAACCAATGTGTTTATGAAGCATACTGTGGAGGTAGGCAGGCTGGGGGGTGCGGAGGGAGGCTGGAAACCAAGACACCAGTCAGAAGACCCGGCCAAGAGAGGAAAATCTACCAGATAACAGTTGTGATGGAAAAGAGTGTCGAGATTCAGAAAACAGAATGTCTCTAGACCGTTGCTCTCTGAGCCTCCAAGCCAGAGCTGCCCTGTCTGGGAGGCAAAGGCAGTCCCGGGGGATCCTGGAAGATGATTTATGGCTTTCGGATATCAGCCTTAAGGGGTTTCTTCTGCTTTTAGGAAGAAGTTTGCAATACGGGCTCTAAGGATTCTTTTCCTGGATGACCCTCACACCTCAGCCACCTGGAATGTTCACGAGCTTCTCGAAGTAGGTGGTCCACGTGGGACCAACTATCTCCATCGTGCCTGAGGCTGTCCAGGAGTTAGCACTGAAAGTCCTGGTCAAATCAGGACACTTGGTCCCCAACTACACCAGTCTGCTGAGCTCCAAGGGCTCAAGGCAGGGCTCTTAATTGTCACAAAGCATTCAGCTAATTCTACTCAACAAGATAAGCCGAAAAGGGGGACACCGCATTGTGAGAAATGGCTGCAGAAGGGGTGAAGGCTGGGCAAGTGACCTGGGGCCTAATCCTTTGTCCATCTCCTCTGACGCTGGTTACCTCAAAAGCCCAGAACAAAAAAATGAGCCAGTCGGAACCCAACACATCACCCCACAAGGTACACGCCACATCCCAAGTGTCCACGGGCTGGATACCCTGTGCCTGGCCACTTGGTCTGAGAAAGCCTTTGCGATGAAAGGGAAAGGCTCTGACTTCTGCTGCCAACACGGACAGACCCGAGATACACAAATACACACACTTGAATGAGGAATCTAGGGGCTCTGGGAGCGGGGTGTCCCTTTATCCTACAAATCGCACTATTTCTGTGGTCTATGTGTACACACCACACACACTCCGACTTAAAAACACTGCAACTGGGGATTAGAAAAATAGCAAAAATGTCAATGCAACATCTGGGAACCTTATGATAATATCAGGATTCTGTCTGTAATCTGACACAGCCTTGGCTGAACTGCCGTGTTCAGTTCTGCACCCTCCTCTCCGGAGTAACAGGTTGTTTTCCAGCTTCCAGTGGACCATCGCCCCTGGCTTCAGATTCCCCGCTACAAACAGGTTACGTGGAAACCTAATCCTTACAGTATTTAACACACACACTCTCTCTCTCTCACACACGGCAAATAAGTCATTTAATAACACCAAGCAGCACCGACGGACCACAGGGATGCCCTCCACTCCGGCCACACGCCCCGCGCCTCGCCAGCATCTCCGCGGACACTTCCCAGAGTTGGGACCCCGCGCACCTCCCGGGGCCCAGGGCACCGGACCGCGCTCACCTTCTGCAGAAATGCCATCCTGGGCCTGTACTGTTGGCCTTGGTGTCGGATCGTCATCCTGGACCCTGGATGAAGGCACCACCAGAAGCCGAGCGGAGCGCTGGAGAGGAAGCCCCCCGGCCAAGGCGCCCGCGTGCCCCGCACACGCCCTGGCGTCCCGCGGGAGGAGGGCGGCCCGAAGCGCGGGGCGGGGGCGGCTGCTGCCGGCGGCGCCCCTTTACTCTGCCTTGGCCCCCGCCCCGGGAAAGCCGCTGGAATCCGCGCCAGCCAATCAGCGCGCCGCGCCGCGGGCTCATTAGCATGCCCTGCGCTGGCAGCCACCTCCCGCCAGGGGGCGGTGTCTGGTCCCAGCGGGACCCCGCGGAGCCTCAAGTGAGATCCGCGTGGGTCTGGCCCCGAGAGTGGGAGGATCTGTCGCAAAGAGCAGCCTTTTCACCTGGGCCAGAAGTGAGTTATTACAGAAATGAGACAAAGAGGCCTCACTAATGAGCGTGGTGGGAAAAATGGTCTTTCCCATCCCAGCTCTGCCACTAGCTAGCTGGACAACCTTGGGCAAGTTTCTTAAATTCTAAGCCTCAGTGTCCTTACCTGAAAGGTAAAAATGAAACATGGGATGGTCCTATCCAACGGACGGGCTGCTATATCATGTAATGGGGAAATGTGTAACACAGTGCTTGGTCCTCAACAAATGTTTAGCAGTATTTATGGAAGCAAATTTTAAGTGGCTTGGTGACGTGTTGGTTAAAGAAAGAGGGGAAGGGGGAAGGAAAAGGAAGGAAGGAAAGGAAGGAACACAACACTGACTCAAGGTTGCAAACAATTTCGAGGGCTTCATGGCTGGTCCCCTCCGAGAGGGGTCCACAACTCCTTTTGCTTTAGAAAATCCAGGACCCAACAGGTGTCCATTCATGCAGAAGACCAGAGATCCTACTAAGCAAACCAGGCCACTGGGAACTATGTTCCTAGTGTGAACTACAAAACAATATCCGTATCCAAATATGACTTTTTTTTTTTTAATGGAGTGTCTTTGGGGCCTGGACTTACACAGAACACACACTGGGATATGCTGGAGCAGATGAACTATGAGTTTCCTTCCACCTTCAACGTTCCTCGATTCTATAAACCCAAAATGGAAAGGAGAAAAGTGGCTTTCCCACAATCAAGGAAGAGAAAACTTAAATTTTTCAGGAGCAAAGACAGGAAAAACACATGAGCTCTTGCTCAGTAATCAGATAGCCAAAACCCCATAGTGTGTGCCAGTGTCTTCTCCTTCACTTCTATCAGACCCTGCTCACCGAGCAACCTTACTTTGGTGGGACTCACCCTCCCTTAGCTCACTGGACCAGGGATGCTGAGGATGAGAACCGCCAGCCACTCCCTGTTCAGGCTGTGGCCAAGATATGGATCTGAAAAGCTTAAATGAGCTTGGTAGATTATTACCTTCAGCTTGAGCCAGACAGAGGTAAAGACACGGCCAGAGAAAGCTGAGGCCAAGTGCAAGGTGACGTTACAAGGAAAACAGAAATGAAAGTTGAGCCGAGGAAGCCCATTGGAAAAAGAAGCAAAGAAACTAAATAGGCTGAGTGCAGAGGAGGGGCTGTGAGGCCGACCGAGAAGTCCCCAGAGCTCACCTGGCTCCCTGCCTTTCCAAGGGCATGTGCCATGTCCACAAATCCTCCCAAGGATCTTGAGTCTTTGTTTCTTACAACCGAAGGGGCTTAACGCATAATGTAGTGTCAAGACTTTAGTGACAGTGTCTTGAAAAATAGAACTGATTTAATTCACCTACTCATTTAAACAACAGACTATTGCATGCCACACATTGTGCTAGAGCAGAATATGACCCAGTCCCTGTCTTGAGACGCTCACAGGTTCATGGGGGAGAAGAATACTTGAACAAAACTATGTTATAAACTGAATGTATGTATCATGGAGATCCTGTCAATAGAACACAGAACTTTGTAGAAGAGTACCTTATCCATGAGTGGAAGAGAAAATCAGGGAGACGTCCTGGAAGAGGAGTCCTAAAGGAAAAAGGGATCACCACAGGTACATCAGACAACAGCAAAAGAAAGGCGCAGAGGCAAGGATTAGCATCGTTTGAGGGGGGTGGCAAGGAATGCATTGGACACAAGGTCTTGGGAGATTGATTAGAGGGACATGGGCAGGAACCAGACAATGGTTGGCTTTGGATCAAGGATTAAATGGAGAGGGGTGTAAAGGAACTTTCTGGAGTGACAGAAATTTTCTATATCTTAATAGGTATGGTGGTAACACAGGTAAATAAGGTTGTCGAAACTCATCCAACTGTACTCTTAGAACTGGAGCATGACACAGTCTATAAACCATACCTCCACAAAAGGATTGACTCCCAAAAGCAAGGATTATCTTCCAACATGATAAGGGACATGGTACAAAGCCGAAATCCTCCCATGACTCGGGTGGGTGAGCATTCCATCATCATCATCTCTATTGTCATCAAAGGCTTCCTTCTTGGTGTCATTCAGACCCTAAACGGGTCATGTTGCCCTGGCTAGTATTCAATGTCATTGACATGGCCCTGAACCTTGTCCCCTGTAGGATAAACTTCATCCAGGCACAATGACGTGTTCAACCATATGGCAGTGTCCTTTAAAACCCAGGTGTAAGGTCACCTCCCGGTAAAATGTCCCTGACCAGCTCAACAGTTCAGTTCAGCTCACTGCGCTCAGTGCTGAGGAAGTCAGGCTTTAGAAAGCCAAGCTCGCAGGTCCCAGACTGGAAAGGGAGACAGAATCTTCAACAGCTCATTCCCGCATGTTGGATGTATCAGACCACTTCCAGGCAGAGACTTCACGAAGGGTCTCCTTTGAGGGGACACGGGGTTAAGGGAAACCCTAAAAGAGGTCAAGGCACCCAGAGATCAACTAATAATGGAAGCCACTGCTATTATCCAGATATAAAGGGCTTGGGGGGGGGCGGTGGGCAGAGCCTTGGTGGAGGGGCTGTCTTGCAGGGCTGTCTTCTTGGAGGGACACAGCCATGGCTAGATAGGATGCCAGGGGAATAAACACGCTGACCTGCTCTCCTCCTGGGACCTCCCATTGCTTAGTTGTGACCAGGAGCCAGGGGGCAGTGGAATCTGGGTGAGGCACCTGTTAGGGTCAGGCTCCTAGAGCACACAGGGGAGGGCAAAGGATTCAAGAGGTAGGAGGGACACAGGGCAGGTACACCACGAAGAAGCAGCATGACGTGTTAAATGTCTTTGATAACTCAGAAGCTCAGAGGATCATTCTCAGAGTTTATCTTGTGTCCTCAAGCACTTTGAACAGTAACAGCACCTCCCCTACCTGCACAGATGTCTCCCTGACTCAGACAGAAATCACGTCGAACTCATTTGACTTCCCGGGCCACTGCCCTTTTCTACCCCTTGTTTGCATTTCATATAATTTTGTCTTGTTTGAATTTGTTACGAGTGTATATTACATATGCGATCTACCAAATCATTTAGAGGGAAAAAAACAAAACACACACCTTCCATGCATGAATGTTTCTTCCTAGCACCTGCTAGAGAGGCAATAGCTCATGAAAATGTATTTTTGGAGGGAAACCAGAGGAGGGTCTCCTTCTCCCATAGTGAGCATACCAGGCCGGCCAGACAGAATCTCTCTGTGCGCCCACGGGTCAGTTCTGGTTGAGAAATAAAGTGACGTGTGGGTGAGACCCACACTCCCTTTCTCTCCAAACTTTCACCTTCTCTACGAAGAAGCTATTTTAGACCTCAGGAAGCTGGCCATACCTGGTGACCCTGGCTGTTCCATCTGGGGGTATGAAAGAAAAAGAAGACTTAGAACCTTTCTGGAAGGTTCCCTGCCTCCTCCTCATGCAAGGATTGCTCAGAAATTATCTTGGCCCATTAGGGGGTCGTCAAAAGTACAGTACATCACAAAACACAGGGTTTGGGGGGTTTTGGGGGGGGTTTTTTGTTTTTTGTTTTTTTGACAGAGATCACAAGTAGGCAGAGAGGCAGGCAGAGAGAGAGAGAAAGGGAAGCAGGCTCACTGCTCAGCAAAGAGCCCGATTCGGGGCTCGATCCCAGGACCCTGGGATCATGACCTGAGCTGAAGGCAGAGGCTTTAACACACTGAGCCACCCAGGCGCCCCACAAAGCACAGTCTTATGAAAACTCCCTCCTCTATCATTTTTTTAAATCCTAAATTACATTGTCTGGCTGTATTCAGAGAGCATACCTTTCACAAGGAAGTACCAGGCATGAACAGGTAAATGGAACAAAACCATGCCTTGCTCTGTCCCCACTCTCCTCCCAACTCTGTGGGGTACCCTGCTGTCTATCTATGGACCAGCTCCCACTGGAACTTTCTCTAACAAATGACATCTGCTACCTTCTGGTGAAGGGTGTTATTATTTTATATTTATATCTATAGAAAATTTGGAACTGTGAGGTTTTTAAAAATGACATTAAGAGAAAAGGCATTTTTCACAACTTGATGTGGGCTTTGGTTTTCAAGATAGCGTTGGGGTTAAGGGGAGGTATGAAGGCCTCAAGGCACAAGATGTATGTTCTGGGCCCTGCTGTATTTCTCACAGGATGTGTGACTTTTTTTAGATCGCTTTATTGAAGTGTAATTGACATACACCAAAAAGCACCGTATTTGAAGTGTACAATTTTATAAGTTTTGATATACCACATCCATGATCAAGGGAGGGAACATATTCATAACCCCCAGAAGTGTCCTTGGTGATCCCTCCCCCTGCTGTCCTTAGGCAACCACCTGTCTTTTTCTGTCACTATGAATTAATTGGATCAAGCCGCCTTACCTCTAATCAACTCACCTAATCTCTCCAATTTACTAGTTTCTTATTAGTAATAAGGAAGTATCAGATTTGATGAATCCATAAGTCCTCTCCTATTTTAAAATCATATGATTTTAGTTTTCAAAGTAGAATGAAACACTCCATCAGCCCCAAGGCTGGCAGAATGGGAACTAGTGCTCCCTGCGATGCCCCTCTGAACTTCAACCAGCCACCCCAAAAAATGGGATTCCATGGAACAGACATTCCAAAGTGCTGAGTC